TTTAACTATTCTATGCAATGTTGAATCAATTACATGCCAAATTCATTCTTGAAACAACTGACGTACGAGAACCTTTCAATACAATTGCTAGTATCACTTTTCATATAAGACTCAATCAAGTATAGGAGAAAGCATATAAATATTTCGTCATCCATGAACTTCTATAGCCAAACATGCTAATATGAGTTTGCTTTAAATCTATAAGACACATACTCACTTTTCAAAGAGTTTCCAACACATGCACCTCTCTTTTATTCCAACATTCACAAAATATTCCAAACTACTAGCTCTTCCAGATAAATGCAAATGAACCCTTTGACATCTTCCTTAGTTACAAAATAGAAAAGAAACCCAATGCTCATGTTAGCTGTTACCGACAATGCAAATGAGCACAAGTATATTTTTTTTTAACATAATTATGGTTCATAAAATCTCCCTCAATCATTGAAACAAGATGCAAATTTTAACATGATTTGGTCTTAATATAATACCCATGTGAAAACTAGAGATTAAATTTACCTTGAATGGGAATAGCTTGGAATCTTGTTAAGTCGTTCCCAAAATTTATTGAAGAAAACTCATTATTTAAACTTCCCAAGCATGTATAAAAAGTTCGGCATAAACATGGGGTTTCAATATAAATAGCCTTATTATATCATACCCTTTCTCTTTCAAGAACACTTCATCCAACAACTAGAATGCAGAGACTACGAAATTATAGAATAAGCCCATAAGAATACCATGCTGATAAACAACATCCCGATATATGTAAGTAAACCAAAGGTCTTAAACGATCATATTCCTTCACAAAGAAATTGCCCACATTTATCATATGCCTCTACAAATACCAACCATAATCGACTTGTTTAAATTTGCAAACCATCTGAGAATCATACAAATATAAGTCATAACATCTCTCAACTCCAAGGATAAATAGAGTTATTACTCTAGCCACCCACAATTTTATTCCTAAAAAAAAAATAAAAGAAGAGGGAAATAGATCTAATCATTCTTTTCAAAGGCTAAGAACAAAATGAGAATGATCATCCCCTCAAGTGAGGATGAGAAGAATAAACTAAAACAAAAAAACTTCAGCAATACAGAATATGTATTTGATGCCTTCATTTTACTATAACATCCAAATAACACCGTCTTGCAAGAGAAGGAAGGGAAGGGGAAGGGGAAATATAGAAACAGAAAAGGGATCTAAAGAAAGAAGAAAGAGGAAAGAAGAAACAGCAATGAGAGGGGAAGAAGGAATGAGTGATTACTTGCCTGAGATGGATTCGGCTAGGGCAAGGTCGGTCGAATCAGCGCCTAGTTCAGTCCTAGCTTGCGAACAACAGGGGACTCCAGTCCCTACTGATCTAATAACAAAATGACCACCATCAATAAAACAAACACCAAGTCTAATAGAAGGTATCATCCTCAGCAAAAGGAAGCCTTTCAGCTCACAATTACATAACTTGCTACTACAATTAACAAATCGCTAACCAAAATGTAGTATTATATAATCCTGACCATTAAAAAAAGCATCATGATTAACTAAACATCTTTGAACTTCAGAAGGTGCAATGATTCCCTAATGTTTAATTTGACAAGAAAAACATAAAGTTATGTAAACTAAAATATGATTTAAATTTTTATCAGTATTCACATGTTTTCAAATGAAGGGGAAGAGTACGAAAAATATAGTATGTCGTTGTGTGGACCCCCGAAAGGATACCGCACAGATCTTATTGCAGTGAAAAATAATGTTTAATTTGACAGATCTTATTGTCTTCAGAGTGCAGAAGGTATACGACCGCACCACCCCAAGGGATAGAAACGATTGCAGGCCTCCGGTCAATGGAAGGGCATATTAGATCGCACATGCGACTAACGAATGAGAATAGCGGCTCTCGCCAGCGCACCCCGATGGGTAGTAATATATACGACATGATCAAAACAACGAGTTTTCCCCACCCAATACATCAGCTCTAGTGGTGTTTATTTGATGGTGGAGTTCCGTTTCCCATGGGCCCAAACCCCGTGGTTAATTACATCTCGAGCCTAGGGCCCGATAAAACTCTCAATTAAGGATTCGATATTATTCTTCCCAGACAAAGGATTGACACGAAAGGGGAAACTAAGAAATTCCTACTCAAAAGGAAAGAAAGGGCTCAACTCGGCTTAGTCAACATGCACGGCTCACACTGACATCCGGAGGGACTAAAACAGTTGAGGAGAGAAAGAAACTCAAACACTCAAAACATACAGAGAGAAAAGATGGAAATGGCGTCATCCGTGTGACGCGGATAAGCAGGATTTATAGTCCCTTAAGAATAGGGAACTTACCCGTTGTTTAGGCATACTACGAGACACCCAATGTAGTAGCCTCCAACCTAAATCTAAGGTGGGTTTAGTGTTCTACCCAACATTAACACCTGTATCCTAGCTAATGCACCTGGGCTTATACACTGCCTGAAAAGGTATGTCAGCTGATCACCTAAGCGTGTAAAATCCATGCAGTCCAGTCTTCATGAAAGATAGGTAGGTAGTCTTTTGGAAGTAGGACCGACGTCTAGAGAGTTTCCTAATTGGCTATGGACTTATGTAGGGTGAATGTTCCTAGAGCCAATGCAATTAAAATTTTAATTTAGTTAGTTTCTAATACAATGCATGCTGGTTAAAAGGCTCCAAATCATGTATGCATAAGATTTAAAAAAAAAACAGGCTTATATAAAAATAATTTTTAGAAAAGATTGTGCCTCCCCAGGTCCGACACTTCATCCTCATAGGTCAGATTATTCGGACTCTACCCGCAGGCAGGGAGGTGTCTTATAAGGAGGAGGGATAGAGTAATAATATCCATGCGACTCCGGACGATTCCGGCTATTCCCTAGGTCATTAAGTTTCTAAGCAATTTAATTCCTAAAATACTAATTTTTAATTACGAGTAGAAAATATTTTTTATCCTGAAGAACCTATCGAAAATCAGGTCATACACATGCAAGAAAAGAAACCTAGGAAAAGCATGCAATTTCTACTGCGCAATCAATGTAAACAAATCAATATAACTCAACCAAACACAGAAAAGTAAAGTCCAAAATTCACGGCAAGTGTCATATAAATATAATCCAGGGTCTTCAGAAAAGTAATGGTAGACAGGCCCCACCGACAATAACCTGAATTCTAATCCTAATGCATGACGCAAGTCTTAAATGCACGGCATTTCGTCTTTAAGTCTTCGCTTCGAGTGAATCGTCCTTCTCCGGATTGCCTTCCTTCGGATAGTCTCTTTTGGGTTCCGTATGATTTACAACCTAGGGTCTGCAGAAAAGTAATGGTGGTCAGGTCCCACCGACAACAACATGGATTCTAATCCTAATGCATGACGCAAGTCTTAAATGCAAGGCATTTCGTCTTTAAGTATTCGTCTTCGAGTGAATCGTCCTTCTCCAGATTGCCTTCCTTCGGATAGTCTTTTTTGGGCTCCATATGGTTCGTCCTCCAAGAGAGTACCCAAATGAATAAGAGGTCAACCTAAAGTTTAAAGTTTTTCGTTTGAGTAGATCTAAAACCGAATACATAGAGTGTAATTTTAGTAGTAATAGTTCTAGTGTGAGGTTTTCGTTTTAGATATCTTGAGTCTATTGTTCAGAGTGATGGTAAAATAGACGGGAATATTATTAGTAGAATTCAAGTTGGAATGAAGTAGAGAAATGCATTGGGCTTATTGTGTGATAAAAAGTACCACTTAAACTTAAGGGAAAATTCTATAAGATGGTGGTTAGACTTGCAATGCTTTATGGCGCAAAATGTTGGCCATTAAAAGAGAAGTATAATATTAAGTGTTGCAGAGATAAGGATGCTCAGGTGGATGAGTAGCTTTACTCTTAGAGATAGAATACGAAATAAGCATATATGTGAAAAGGTTGGAGTATCTCCAGTGGCATATAAGATTAAAGAGAGTTGTCTTAGATGGTTTGGTCTAGGGGTGTAAATGAGTCGAGTCGAGTCGAGTCGAGTTTTGGCACTATCGAGCTCAACTCGTTAGTCGAAAAGCGAGCTCGAGTCGAGCTCAAAAGACGAGCTCGAACTCGAGCTCGTCACACTATTAACGAGCTCGAGCCGGCTCGCGAGCTACTTGATTATGATTCGATTTCACATTTTTCTCATTTTGCCGCCTAATTTTTCATTTTGCCGCCTTGTCCTTTTGTATTTCAAAAAGTATAAACACTAGGATTTTTTTAGCATGAATCTGCAAAAACTCTTTTTGGGGAAAGTAATTAATAGTTTTTTATTCATACTTTTTTAAAACTTCTCTCCTGTATTAATGAAGATGAGGTATAGGTTGTACTATCATATAGGAAGTCATGTCATATAGGTCGAAATAGGTATATTTTTATTGAATAGCCATCCTTTTTTTAAAACTATAGGCCGAAACTCCTCTCAGCATATATATATTTTTTTAAAATAAAAATATGTTCGCTAATTAATTTAATTAATTAAATAATTTCAAGCCGGCTCATAATAAGCTCGTTAACAAGTCGAGTTCGAGCCGGCTCACGAGCCGGCTCGGCTCACTTACACCCCTAGTTTGGTCACATAAAACGATGACCTTCTAATGACCCGGTTAGGATAGATGTATTAGATTTAACATATGTTAAGAAAGGTAGAGGTAGACCTAAAAAGTTTTGGTTAGAAAATATTACAAATGACCTTTCTTTATTGGATCTAAATGAGAATTTGACTATTAATCGGACATAATGGAGAAAAATGATTCGTGTAGCCGACCCCACGTAGTGAGATAAAGGCTTGATGTTGTTGTACATGTTTTCAAATGAGATAAACATATTTTTGGTGAACAGAGGTGTATTTCGAGACCTGATTCCAAATCCATCAGCAATGCAATCATATAAGTAGTTTCACCTAGTACATCATAACTTCAAAGCACATCAAAGCACAAGAAGATAAGTGGTTTGTACGCAAGGAAACACTTTCAACCAAGAATTCTATTAATAATATAATTATTCAGCAAATTCAAAATTTTAAAACAAAGGCCCACCTGTAAGAAATATTATCATTTCCATTAGACGTATTAGATGCTGGGCTTTGATGGATGGTCGTAGCCTCTTCATTCAATTTCTACAAAGAAGCTTATGTAAAGGGAGTAAAGACTAAAGGAGAGACATCGTATACATCAACCAACTTCTCTGACTCACATCAATTGACGGATTAAAGCTCTGAAATGACATTCGGCCTCTTAATGCTCCGGGGTGAGGATCCCCTTCAACTATCACTATGCTGGATAAAAATTATTCAGAAAGCAACAATACTTCAGCAACCCAAAACAAGAGGAAAGTTAAACTTCAGTGGTCATTGCAGTAATAAGTAAATTTACTTTAAATAGCAGCACAACTTAAATAAACAAAACAAGGCTACAGAAAAATCCCTGAAGTAAATGAAAGCAAACACCTAAGTCACAATGATTGCGTTTTCAGACATTTCAAGAGCCAAAGGAATGGGGATCATAAGAAACGATGAATTTTAAATAGGTTTCAGTTCTTAAAAATCGGAATGTTTTTTGCACTACTTTGGTGAGCCAAGAGAAAGAAAATCTAGAGACTTCCAAAAAGTTCGGCGTAATAAGGAAGAAGATACGAGTAACTCAGTAAAAGAAAGCTGCTAATAATGACATCAAGGAAAAAAGAAAATGCAACTTAAGAAATTATTAAATGAGTAAAAAAAGGTCTTCAAAAGAACCAAATAAATAGAATTGTAGAATAATATTAAAAACAGTATTAAGGGATAGCTTTTAGTTGCTTAATTCATGAAATGTTGCCGCAATTTTTTTGTGGTTGCTTGGCAACCGGATTTCTCATTACTTACCATAAAATCACGCAGAGGGGGCACACGTTTAGAAATGTGATGCCCGTGTACTGCGTTGGACAATTGTTGACCACTATTTTTAACATCAGGTTTGACATATTTGCTCCCATAATTTTGGAGAAATTATCCATCCTAAGTTTCTGATAGGAAACACTTGTAGATCTCAAGTATTTCCTATCAATGTTCGGAAAACAGCGAAAATCCTCCACAAGAATCCATACAAAACCAAGAAAAACATTAGAAATTTTTTATTATTTGATGAAATAGAAATGGAAAATAGCAAGATACAATTGATCCTCAATTCGAGAGGAGGATCGATCTCTCCCAAATCTCCAGACGCCACTAGAGCCCAAAAGAAAACCTAAATCTAAGATATCTCAAATTTCAGCCAAATTCAAGATGCCCTAACCCTAGGAAAACAAACTATTTAATGCATACAAATCAAAAGGAAATCCCTAAATAGTTCCTAAATTCAATTTCCCTCCTAAACTCCCTTAAAAATCTTCCTAATCGGCTCTCTTGAGCTCGCGGAAATGAGCGGCTCTTCTTGGAGGAGGAAGAGTTCCGTCCAATTGGCGTAAGCCGGTCTTGTCAGACCGGCTGGATCGGTCTAACAATACTCCCCTCCCAAAGATCCACCTTGTCCACAAGGTGGAAAGATGACACCCTCCTCCATTCATTCTTCATCACAAATGGTAAGAACCTAAAGAATTCAGTCCTTACACCTGTGCCCCGGCATATACCTCTCGTCACATCTAAAACAGAGCCCCTTCGTCCTTTTCTCTTGTAATCCATCTCTGTGAGCTTCTTGACGTTATCACCAGATCTTCCACCTGCAGTCTTTTCCTTTAAAGTTCCCCGAAGAGTATCCAATGTTGGCTCCTTGGATGTCAGTAAGGTGGTGGTCATCCTATATGAGCCTACTGATGATGGGGACATCAGATCAGCGTGCAAGGTTTATCAGTGACGTGGCCGCCGATCTACGGCCACGATCGAGTCCTTGTATTTCTGAGTCATGATTGTATTTTATTTTATTTATGCATTTTCTTAGTTGCTTAGGTGTCGTTATTATTTCCCTTTGTACCCCTTTCATGGGAGTGGTCGCATGTAAGCCCAAAGGGCACCGGCCCCAGTAATCCCACCACCTGCTCATCCCCCTCTTCCCCCCTCCATTTAATTCCATTGCCTAATTGGGATTGGATATTTTGGGATAGAATTTTGAATTCAAAATTGTCTTTTGAAATTTAAAATCTTTCCTAAGATATCAAATCTACTTTAGGAAAGTTCCTAAATTACTTCTATTTGAATTTTAAATTTGAATTGGATTTAATTAAAAACTTTCCTCTTTACTAAACCCAATTAAGAAACCCCTTAAAGCCTCTCATTAACTGCCCCCATTGACAGCCATCCCGCCAGCCCCTTTTCCCTTGAATTTGGGTTTGGAATTTATTTCCTATCTCTTACTCCTACCTTTGGAAATATTTCCAACTCCTAGCCTTAGCCGAATTCCATCAGCTTATTTCCTAATCTATTACCCAAATCAATCCATTGATTTAGGGAATAGAAATCCCTCAGATTTCCTGTTATTTTCACCGTCTCCTCCTCCTCCGAATTGCTCCAATTAGCTATTCTAGTTCAGAGCCTGTGGATTGGAATTACTCTCAGCTTTCAGTTCATCCGTAATGCTAAACTTCTCCTTCAATTTTCTCTACCTCTTAGGCTACTAAATCTGAAATTCATCTCAGATTCTTGTTAGAAATCTGAATCTGTCAGATTTTGAGATTCAAATCTGAAATTGTTTCAGATTTTGGGATTAAAGCTTTGAGCTTTCGTCTCCTATTCAATTGCAAGGAGAAACCTCAGTTTCTTGGTACCCACGTGCAAGACGGAGCAATGACCAAGGAGATTCTACTTCCAAGCACCAATGAATGACGGGATCCCTTGATGAGTACCTCGATGGCATTGATTGGATGATCTCCATGTCTCTCTATGCAAAGGTTTCCTTCTCGCTTACATCTTATTTCTTTTAAATCTGAATTCTAATTGATATGATTGTAGTCACCAAAGTCTCCTCCGAATGCTCTTGCTAAGTTTAGTAAATCATAGGGATTGAGCGTGCTTTTTATGCAGCCTAAATCTCATTGTTAGATTAGGAATTAAGTTGGAAGCTACTATTTTGTGTTGCTTTTATTTTCTTAATTATTTTGAATGTTCAAAATTTGGCGCATGCGATTTAGCCTATGCAAGATTAACTCCTTCAGTGTTTTACTCGACGTGGATAATTGCTAGTAATTTTATTCGAAACTTATTCTAATCAAAGAGTTGTGCAAAGCCTAAGTGAAACTCATAAACATTGCATCTAAATAGTCCTGCATCAACTAACCTATTGCCTCCCGTTTCTCTCTCCAGGTGCCTCTGATCCTCCACAAACTGAGCTAGTTCCGGAGCCTCTCCCAAGTCACGAGGTCTCATTACTCTAACCGCTGCCCGAATCTATGGTGTCAGTCCCTTCATGAAATTTCCCTCTAGCACTATCTCAGGAAGGTGGTCCAATCGGCTAGCAAGGTACTCGAATCTCTCCTGGTACTCCATCATTGTCCCCTCCTGAATTAAAGCGAAAAACTGCTCGTAGAAATCCCCTCTCCTACTAGTTTGGCAACGTTCCAATAAGCAGTCCTTAAACTCCCTCCAGGTCCTTATTGCTCGCCTCGTAACCCTCCATTGGTACCATGCTAAAGCTTTCCCTTCCAAGCACATCCCGACTACCATCAGTCTCTCCCCCTTCGTCAACCTGTTGACGGTAAAGTACCTTTTCACCTTGTAGATCCACCCATGGGCATCCTCTACCTCAAAAATAGGCATCTTCAGCTTCATCACCCTTAAATTGCCTCTGTTCCCTGTGTTCCCTTCCTAACTTCCCCTTCCCCAAGGGGTTAGTTCCCCCCAACTGTCCCAATCATCCCTTCTATGTTCATACCCCAGCCTTTCTTCAAATTCCCACATTCTCCTCTCAAATTCAGCACCCATTGGAACCCCACCCCATTTAAATTCAGCCCCCTTTTAGTCATAATTACCCATTTCTCATTCCAATCTCTCCCCTCTCCTCTCCAAATTAGCATGTCTTCGTTCTTGCCCTACCTCGTCATACCCTCTGCCGGGCTTCCCCTAGGAATAGGCTCTAGGAGAGGCATTCTCTCTTCCCCCTTTTGAGTCACCACCTCCTTATCTCCCCTTTACCGGATTGGCTTAGGATTTTTCCCATCTCCTTGGCTGTCGGGGCCTTCCTTTCCCTCCAACGATGATATTTTGGTTTGACCCTCAAGCACTTTCTTCAACATCTCCTCCAGGATGGAAAATTTCGAATCGAACTTATCATGGATGGTTGAAAAATCTTTTTTTTAATCTGAAACTTGAGTTTGGAAATCTAAAATTTCATATTTCATTTGTCCAATCCCCACTTTAAGGCGTTCCTCCAACGTATCCATTTTATTGGCCGCCATTGACGCTCGGATTTTTGTAGAAATAAAAAGCTAGACTTCGACCTTCAAAAACAGAAATTTTCTTCTTCGAAATCCCAAGAACAATCACTGAAATTCACTAAAACATCCCACCAAAGGTCCCAAAAACAGCTCTGATACCAATTTGATAGGAAACACTTGTAGATCTCAAGTATTTCCTATTAATGTTCGGAAAACAGCGAAAATCCTCCACAAGAATCCATACAAAACAAAGAAAAATAGTAGAAAATTTGTATTATTTGATGAAATAGAAACGAAAAATAGCACGATACAGTTGATCTTCAATTCGAGAGGAGGATCGATCTCTCCCAAATCTCTAGACGCCGCTAGAGCCCAAAAGAAAACCTAAATCTAAGAGATCACAAATTTCAGCCAAATTCAAGATGCCATAACCTTAGGAAAACAAACTATTTAATGAATACAAATCAAAAGGAAATCTCTAAACAATCCCTACATGCGATTTCCCTCATAAACTCCCTTCAAAATCCTTCCTATTCGGCTCCCTTGAGCTCGCGGAAACGAGCGGCTCTTTCTGGAGGCGTAAGAGTTCCGCCCAATTGGCGTAAGCCGGTCTTGTCAGACTGGCTGGACCGGTCTAACAGTTTCCTATACCTACTCACTTACAATACAGCCTCAGTCGTGAACAATGCCTCCTCTCTCACCCGATGTTCCATCAACTTCCTTGGTTGTTTGGTGCTCCACTGATCTTCACCCTCTCACGAATAGAAGCTCCAACTGTGAACTCACTCAGAACCGTTAAAGTAATGCAGCTCCTCCAAGTGATGCAAAGCTCAAACCATCTTTTCTACCTTGCAACAAAAACTCGAGTGGGCGGCAGTCTACTCCCTTTTACAAATCCAAGCTCTGGTAGTTGTATCTTCATTCATGTAAGCACTA